AAAATTTGTCATGATGTTACGATAACATTACTTAGACTTTTTTTGAGTTTTGGTTCTCCCTTTGCTATGTTCCGCCTTTTTTGTTTACTGGTAATTTACTTGGAAAATTTGTTATGCATGTATGTCTTTTATACTACTACATCGATGTCTTTTTTTGTTTTGGATGTAAAGCATTTATTGGTTAAATTCGTTTAATTCAATCTTAAATTGAGATGCTGAGCTTCCTAACAGCTTCTTTGACAAAGTTGGAAAAATGAAGAAAAAAAAACCCAAAAATTATATTTCGATAGAAAAGATTTAATCAAATAATGTTTCCCGTTTATTGATAAAGACGCACATTTGTTCTCCAATGTCTGTTAATTTTTACCTTTGGTTACCTCCATAATGTACCCATTGCATTTTTTTTGTATTCGCAAATTAGATGTTCAACTAGAATTCTAAGTTCTATGACAATACGGCTGAATTTCAATCCTAATACTCCAAAAAATGCGTTACTGATGAGTCTTTTGTAGACGAAACGCTAACCAGGTTTGCAAAATTTCAATACTGATATCTATGATGAGTTTATTTGTATATAACCACCAGTGTAGGTATGACCTTCTTTTATCGAGAGTTAACTCACGATTTTAGTTTGTCTTCTATTCAATCAATCAATCCTTCAATAATGAAGAACAAAGTAGATAAAAATGTTTTATTGCATTCGCGGAACTGGAGTCTCTAAAAAGCTAGTGTCGATCATATATATGCATATTCAACAAAAGACACTCTCAACATTGTAGACGAGAAAATAATTCATGGCAAAATCTCTGTTTTGCTGATCTTGTATTGCTGATCATTTAGTATGTTTAGTTTCTCTCTATCTTCTTTAGTGTTTGTTCAAATCACAAAAGATGGTAATAAAATCCTCATTTAAGGGCAATCACTCCTATAAAGAGTGACAGTCTACTAACTTTATCGGCAAAATTCGACTTTTTAGTAGATCTTGCCTTGCTGATCATTTTTGTGATATAAAATGTCTATTTATCTATTATAATTTTTATCATATAAGGCAAAATGCCGACGGACGACGGACGCCAAGTGATGAGAAAAGCTTCTTTGTTGGACCAGTTGAGTTAAAAAGGTGAAAGACGGTGAATGGAATAGTTTTTTTAACGGGAATCAAATATACAAATGAATTGAATACTTATTAATTAAAAAAAATATTTATTATACCATTTGAGAGAGAGAGAGAGAGAGAGAGAGAGAGAGAGAGAGAGAGAGAATTGCGTAAAATCGGCTGGAGTGTTGGAGTCGTGGATGTCTGGAAGTTTGCAAATCCTCTCCCCCTTTATTCCTTTTTAGAAATAGAATTGTGACGTTTTGTGATCAAACTATAGGCGGGAGAAGAAACGGAGCACCTAAAATCACCCTCGGATTTTGGAGGGGTTAATGTTGCTCAGTCTTTAATTTTCTATGTTGTGTTTTGCTGACAGTTTTTTTTTCCTTTTTTTTTTCTTCGTTTTTTGCCAAGGCATCATGACATTGTCAGTTCGTTTTCGACTTTTGAGTTTGACTATTCCTTCATTTTATTCCGTCTCTAAGCTAAAGTATGGCAAAATCCGAATAAGGAATAAGAGCTTTGAATGAGTGAGATATATTCCTAAATTAAAGATAATCTTCAAAATGTTTTAACCCAAATTTCAATAAAACAATATCAAATTTTGTGATAGTCTCGTGGACTGACATTCACCAGCAGAGGAAGAGATAATATATATAGCTATAGCTTTAATCAGCACATCAAAGTGAGGGTTTGCATTAATCCTGAATATCTTTAGAAAATAATGAGTGTTTATAAATAGAATTGTTTATATAATGAATTTAAAAAAAAGGTTGAAATGTGTGTCAGTATTATGAACTGCTAACATGGATCCGCACACCTTTATCTTTTGCTAATACAAACATTGAATTTCTGAAAATCACATTTTTGAAAGTAAATGTAAATTAACTAATACAACCGTTTAGAGGGTATTTTTTAATTATTGTTAAATCAGATATACGGATTAGACATATGACAATGCAGTAAGATTTATAAATTTTATACTTATTGTAATATAACCTCTCTTCAAAAAGTTATATGCGTTTATTCAGAAAAAAAACTTTTAAAAAATACATACCATTATATTCAATCAAGTGTGTATTCGAAGTCTTACGGGAAACTAAAAACCTATACTGAACATTAAAAAAATATTTATTGAGCTGATATATTTCTTTTATTTATATAACCGTATGGGTTTCAACTGAACTTGAAACTGTGCAATTAACAGTTCTGATATTTGGGGAGAGAAAGCTTTATCATCCACTATGACTCCTGTTTTTGTTTGTGGTATCCATACCTTGGCTTTCAGTACGGTGTTGTCACTGAGTCTATAAGAGAAAGGGGTGACTGCTATATTACAAAAATGACTTGTTAGTATTTCTGTATTGTTTGTACTTCTGGTGGTATCATATTTCAAATATCAATCCTCTGGACTTAACTAAAAAAGTTTAGTGAGTTTACAAATTTCTTTGATTATGACATTATGATCTTCCAAGTTTTAATAGGAAGTAAAAGTTAAATTCAAATGTTTAAATGATTTTTTCCTAGAATGCCGGTCATGTGCATTTGTATCCTATTACAGGGCTGTAACCTGGTTATGTATTTGTTTTCAAAAAAGCTAATTTAGTTTCTTCTAGTACAGATAAAACCGTCAAAAGAAGATTTGTTCATCAAAGGCACCAAAAAATCAAGAAGAAAGGATTTAGTGCAATGTGTCAAATTTCATATGTGGTAAGTTATTCGTGATGAAAGCTTAAAGAACTTATTGATACAAGTCGAATACTTATTTGTTTGCCGTTGCACATTTCTTATATATTTCTCTATAATACGACATTGCTATTGGCGATAATAAACAGTGTTGTCTGTTCATGAAATAACATTAACGTTACAAATTGTAACAATCTGCGAACAAATGCATCGTTAGTCTCAATTCATTTTGTATCTGTATTATGTTGTACATTTGGTTTTTGACTGACGAAACGGCAAACATGTTTAAACATTTGTAATGATCTTGTACATTACAACAAATTCATAAATTATAAATTATACATATGTCTGAACAGTATATAGTAATTGTGATATTTGTAAGTTCGGTCATCCGACTCACTGCGAAAATGATTCTAACCATTGATATATATATATATATATATATATATATATATAAATTATATATATATATATTATTCAAGGAATCTTACCTGCAACTAGTAATCATTATCAAATATCCAAAGTTTATATGTTTTGGCTGTTTCATTATGCCACAAGTGAAGATAATAACTATACCTATATCTTGCCTGTGTTTGATCACACATTTAGTCGTGATTTAAGGTGAAACTAAATTGATGGTTTCTGAATTTGGTAATCTCTAAAGGTTATTCAAGAGACTTCAACTGATCTGCCAACGTGTGAAGCCTTATCAACGACTATACAAATTACGTACCAGGTAGTAAAAACTGCCAACCTGTCTGAAACACATGATTTCACTCAAAGTTCGTGTTGATTATTCTTTAGATTTCTGTGTAGTATTTGTGCAAAGATTGTCTTTTTGTCTTTTCTTTTTCAGCCATGTATTTGATTGACTTTCAACGATGCATTATTTTTATTCCCCCTTCGGTATCCTCTTACTTTTTTATACATAAAACATATATTTCACGTCACTGCACTTTATACAACAATACCTGTCGAACCTTTGAAACCTTTGGAACCTGTTTTAAGCATAGGGTAACTACTGTTGACTATATCTAAATACATAATTCGATATGTCTTCTATAACAAAATTAGCAACGGAAACAAATACATTGTAAAATAACTAAACTTATTTTGTAAAGAATAAAAATTCATCAACGACGCCAGGTTTATAATTTGGTGCAGCTGGCGCGCTTTTTGTCAACATAATACTCATAAGTGGTCATATCAAATGCGAAGTTGAAGAGCATTAGACCGAAAATTCCAAAAAAATTGGTTAATATACGACAAAGGCAATATATGCGTGAGGGTAGAATAAAACTGATGCTAAATCTTCTATGCATAACACAATCACTTTAGCTCTGATTTGAGACATAATAATTAGTGTTACATTATATGAATATGAAGATACCGTCGTATTTGCACTTAAAGGAACCCTTACAAAACATAATTGCAAATTAACAAGTATTTGACTGTTTTAGAGGTACACTTACGCAGGTCTGACTGGGAACATTAATTTCTAGATCTATACAAATCTGGAAATGAATGTTTTTTGCAAAAATGTATAACAAAAATACCTAACTTCAAGGCAAATTTGAAAAGGGGAAGTCCATAAATAATATCAAAATCAAGCGCTATTAATCAACGGAACAAGTGATAAACAACTGCCATATTCCTAACTTGGTACATGCATTTTCCGAAGAAAATGGTGGGTTAAACCTTGTTTTTTAGCTAGCTAAACCTCCCATTTGTATGTCAGTTGTTTAAAATTCCGTTATATTGACAAAATATTGCAAGTGAGAGGTGTGGGACGACGTATAATCAAGAACAACCTACCACTTTCAACTGGAAGTGTTTATATCAAATGACTTGATAAAAGTCAAACATTCTTTTTTTGCAAGTCATTGAAACATTTCTTAAAAGTCACTACATTTGTTACCATATATATTGTTTCCGTAATATATTCATTAATAGATAAATCAAAGCCAAAGTTCCAAGGTTTCTCTTCATTTATCGTATTGTCTATTATCATTTCATTAAGAAATGTTATGTTAATGAAGCATTTATAAGGCAAAATAAAGCGTTTCCTTAATTTCCAGTAAAATTCTAGGACTCAAATCGTGAACTTTCATAACCATGCTAGAAACATAAAAAACTGTATTCAAATCTAAAAATACATCAATTCACAACAGGTAATGGCGCTTTCGTAGAATAACGAAACATGCTTCTTCCGCGAATTACAGGGTTAGGGAAGTAATAAAATGTATCTGTACTAAGTCTGAAATAACTGTAGTAAGTATTTTATCGGTTATTGTTTATTGGTTATGAAAATATGTCTGATTTCAACGTTAACAATTACTCTTAAAATAAGTTCTTAAAAATGATATTGTAATAAATAGTATATTTCTGTCTTTTAATAATATAATATGTTCCAGACATACACATCGTTACTATATGTTAATCGTAGTAATATTATATTATCAGATATTTACACATCGTTTACAAATATTAAAATGTTGTCCTGAAAATATTTAGTTTTTCGGATTTTGATGAGATTTTTCAAAAACTAACAGAATTTTCGAAAAATAAACCGACCTTTAACCCATTAACATATTTGGGTTATCTGTAAAATGTACACCATATTGGTTACAATAGATAAATACACAACAGTGTTCTCATTGGTGGATTTATTTATGTCAAATCCCTAGGACAGGTATTTTAATAAGAAAAGAGTTTGAACGCTTGCTAACATTTTCTAAAAATCAGCTGGCAATTTTATCCATCTGGAAGTATAAAGAAAATTTTTCAAAGATGTATTAATATAAGTTGAAATTCAATATAGACAGCCTTGATCTGTAAGATTCGGTTTATCATAATTAAGCCGTTTTGTTCTAGGAGGATCTTAAAGGAGTATTGGGATAAACTCATCATAAATACCAGGATTACTTTGCATGTATTCATTTGTTCATTCCCAGTTTTTATCAATTCGTTATTTTATTAAAACAATTTTATTTTCGGGTCAATCTCAAATATCTCAAAAACATCCTTTTTCAATATTTAATGAGAAATAGTTATGAACAGCAATGTATAAGACTGAAGAAGGAATTGGTTATAATTGTTAAGACGTTAATGTTAATAAAAGTATATTCAAAATAGTCAATATCCAATTTGCGTATGAAAATAAAATAAAGACATTCCGTTATTAGTGTTTTGAACCTTCGTGAACAGAATTTTACTTCTAATATGATAAAAAAAACACTGTCTCAGCAAACGAACGTATGACTTCTTTTGAATAACAAATGGTTTGGTATATAGATATTTGCTAAATATTATCCTTACTAAATGGATTTATCCACCCAGTAGCCATAGTTCGGCACGGAGTAGGACCTACTTGTTGATATATAATATGTCCTGTTTTGTCCTGTGTGCTGTATAGCATTTATCACTGGACGTAGAACAAACAAGAACCAATCAATCATAAAGGTATGACTTGGATAAATATTTAAAAAGATGTTAGGTCTCACTCTTCTTTATAAATCCTTTTTTTTATTTTATAAACGTTTGACAATGATAAAATTATCCATTAAATACCAAAGGACATGACTATGAGTAAATTTTTGTCAAAGTTTACCCACAATTTTCCGTTTCATTGTTTATATGGCGTATCAAACTGTAAATTTGGTATCTTTAGTGATCATTTGGAATACCTGATTATTTAAAGATTGCCTCTGTGTATCCTTGTGAAACAAAACCTTTTTTAAAGTATAGAGAACATTTTTGGCATGGCATTGCACACATGGTATTCTTTATTCAAACTGCATTGACAAAATCCCTTGTTAAATTCCTTGACATTATGATCCTTAATAACAGGAAATGTCTTTTCCCCACGTTTTAATACAAATCAAAATGCACATTTCATCACATGCTTTTGAATGATAAGAAGTGTTTGACTAATGTAAAAAAAAAGTTATCTCGCTTTGTGCGTCTAAAAAAATGTAAGATAACTTTTACATTTTGAAAGTGATTGAATAAATATTTGTCCTAAGTAGTTTCCATTATTGTATGATATTGTTGACCTCACAGTGACATGTAAGATCATTGCTTTTATCAACTCTGTTTCTTTGTATGTTATGTAATGATTTTGGTGTCTATATTTTCCAAACTGGTTGCTTACAACCATCTAAATCACTTTCTTTAGAAAACTAACCAAAAAATAATACTAATTTGAATAAGTTTAAACAATGATTTACTTGAATTGAATTTAAAGAAATTAAAACAGATCTGTAATTCTTATTAATACAACAATAGTTATAACATACACAAAAACTAATCAAAGATACAAGGCTCATGATTTGTTACGTCTGACGCGCGTTTCGTCTTTAATTTTCTATGCAGTGTTTTATAACTTGTTTTTCTTTTCTTCGTCTCTCGTTTTTTGTTTTTGACATGGCGATTTCAGTTTCTTTCGACTGGTGAGTTTTAATGTCCCCTTGGTAACTTGTGCCTTTTTTTTGCCATTCTGTTGAATTGAATATCAATAAAATAATGTTGTATTAACCTCAAAGAACACTCCCAGGCTGAAAAACTTACAATAAGTGAAAAAAAATATAAGGACTTTTTGAAAATGAGCTTGGTGTTAAATAAATAATTTTTGCGGGGTGATGGAAAATACGCCATGGTGCGAAAAACTTAAGGACAGATTTCTTCAGTAAATGCCGAACTATTATTATAAATTCGTCTGTAAATTTGCGTTTGCAAATTTTTGTTTTTCCCTCAACGGGATTTGAACCCTTGCTTGACATCGTGGCAACTCCGTCTACACCACTTCACCAATTAGGCTATATAACATATAGTAACATATCGAGTAATGCTTTTCCTCATCGGCTTTATCTAGGGATGTACAGTGTTTACAGATCTAACATTATTGGGCTAAATTTTAGACGAATTATATATATATATTTATATATTATGGCGTTAGCCCTGTATAACTACGGGTTATCCGATGTAGAATGTCTGTCTAAAGTTGTCCACAATTCCACTTTGTTAAAAAACATCAGACCATTTACGAGTAATGTCCTTCACCGGAAAATTTCGTCAATTATGCGCGCCGTTTTGACGTCATTTACCACATTATTGTATCCCTGCACTATCAAAGTTCACCAAGCGTCTTTGTGATCGCCATTATGCAGGATAAACTAGAAACAATGTTTGTTCCGTAGGTACTTAATCACAATTCCCTAATGACAGCAGTGCTGCTTATACATCATAAGAATTTAATTTTACGAATATTTTTTCAACCGCTCGCTCAACATGGGAATGAATTGACGATGCCCCCTAAACATACGAATGATGATCACTCAAACCAAAGTTTTTGACGGAAATGCAACGAACTCGAAAGTGGTCTATTGGCTCGTGGTAAAACATAGTTTCTTTTCAAAGCTATTTTCGATCTAATATTTTACAAAAGGTATACTTGTTTATATTTATGAGGACTTTTACAATAACACATGCACTGAGTGTGTGCAATTATTTCACATCCAATCTTTTATGGTAATATTCTATACAAAGCACAAAAATGCCGTCATTCACCTCAAAAACTAACCAAACCTTTAAACAGACTTATTTAGAAAGGATATAGTTACGATACTGTTGTCAGGTCATTAAAGATGGCATTTTTTGGAATTAATATTGATTCACTCATAGGGTCTTTGCATCGGAAATAAACACATTCTAAAACCAGTTGTTGGCATGATACGGGTTATGTTCTTCTCATATATTTTATGATGGTATGATACTAAACCCCTAACGGGAGGGATTGTGCTTGATTTTCATATGATGAAAACATAATCTTTCAATCAGTTTAATTGTAGTCTGAAGCTGGCATGTCAGTAACTACTAGTAGTCCTTCGTTAATTCATGCTATCATTGTCTTTTTGCTTAGTTTCTTCTGTTACCTATTCTAACATCGGACTCGGACTTCCTTTAAACTGCGTTTTACTGTGCGTATTGCTGTTTGTTTGTTTATTCTACATTGGCTAGAGGAATAGGGTAGGGTTGAGATCTCACAAAACATGTTTAACCCCGCTGCATTTCTGCACCTGTCCCAAGTCAAGAACCTCTGGCCTTTGTTAGTCTTGTATGTTTTTTAATTTTGGTTCATCTATATGTTTTGGAGTTAAGTGTGACGTCCATTTTCTCTGAACTAGTACACATTTTTATTCGGGAACCGCTGAAGCCTGCCTCCGGTGCGAATGGTTTATCGCTGTGTTGAAGACCCGTTGGTGACCTTCAGCTGTTTCTTGCTCTTTGATCGGATTGTTGTCTCTTTGACACATTCCCCGTTTCCATTCGCAATGTTAATTACACACCGTTTTTATCAGCATATTTTTCAAGTTAATGTTCTTTTTTTTTAACGAAAATAAATGAATAAAAATCAATTCAAATGAGATATATGAATGTTTCAATTTTCAATGTGCACGTTTTAAGATTAAATAAAAGAAAAACAAAGGATATGGGGTATCCATCCATGACACAAAATCAGTACATGCACAGCAAAAAAAAAACACACACACAAAAAGCAAAGGGACAACGATTTTATTGCTGTTCTTCACCTCAAAGTCACAATGAGGCCTTCAACACGGAGCAAAAAAACTGTGCAAGTTTAAGATAGCCCCTAGCACTGGCTTGAGCGGAATTGAAAAAATAATTTGGATAAAAATAATGTTCTCTTTTTTATATTGATTTATCTCCCTTTAATCATTTTACAGTTATGTTTGGCTTGATTGCAATATTTCAACAAAGAGAAACTTTTCATTAACTTCTTGACATTTATAAATTATTTATTTCATGAACGATGGTTTGATATTTTCAGCAATATTGTTACATGTAAAACGGTCGCTTACAACCAAATCATCTGACTCTGTCTAGTTGGCAAATCATACAACATCTTCCAATCTTTAATTACTTTAAGTATCGCGTGTCATATATGTAAACATGTGTGTCGTTTCACGTAGTTAATCATTTAGGAGAATTCAACTACGACTATGTTTAACTTTTCAAATATTAAAGATAACGATGAAAGAACTCAAGTCTTAATGATTACTGTGTTCTGTTTCTTAAAAATGTCAGGTTTTTCCATATTCTCAAATTGTAAGATTAATATTTACGGGCAAGCGGAAAGTTTTCTTAAACCGGTATTGCATAAATCATATTTGTTAATATGCAAATAATCTTAATTTAGTTGGAAAGAAAAACAAGAATTCATAAGTGTGAGTTGAGTTATTCGTTTGAGA